CCAAACATTACAGATTACTACGTAGCGTTAGAAAATTATAATGAAATATTCCATGACCAATGTATTGATTTGAATCGCTATAGCCCCTATAAAATGCAGCTTCATTACCATCATTTTATGGAAACAAGTATTATCACAGTTATACATTTATACCTCAGAATATATTAAAAAACAAAAGGACTTATTGATAATACAAGCCGATAAAGGTAAGACGACATGTTTAGTAAAGCGTGGTGATTATATTACGAAAATGAATGAGTGGATAGATAAAAATATAGAGATGGGTTCCTATGTATTGTATACAGGGAATCAAAATATCTTGATAAAGCGCCTCACAGCTATATATCGTAAACAGGTGCGACCATTGTGCATTTGGTACCAAAAAAATTCAAATTCCTTTTCACTAACCATTTATAAGAAACTACAGAAAATATTACAAAATTCAACACTTACGCTACCATATTTATATGGAACTATCTAATTACACAAATCCAATCAGCCATTGCGTCCGATATGTAGTCCACTAAACTGGTATATTCATCCTCTACATCAATTAGTACAATATGTGCTAAAAACAGCATTATCCACACGTTTATCATCTCATAATCTTCTTAATATGGGCCATCTTACCAAACATATATTGGAACTAACACCCATTCCCGGTTATGTTTTTATTAGTTTGGATATCCGTGATATGTATCCAAGTACCAGCGTGACATCACTTATGCGCACTTTGAAAAATATAATGAATTTAACATGGTTTAAAAATAGTTGTCCAATTCCAATATCAATTTTATCTCAATCTTTGGAATATATCTTAATAGAAGGGAACTATTTCACATTTAAAAGCAAATGCTATGAACAAGTAGAAGGATTGCCCCAAGGTGGCGCAGCCTCCGGGCTATTGGCGACTGTTTACTTAGATTCCAAACTAGAGATTCATAATCGGGCATTATTCCACCGGCATAAGGTCCATGCTTAGTGGAAATATGTGGACGATGTCCTAATTTACATACCACGTCATGATATTCCTTCCTTCATTGAAAACTTCCAAGAACTCATAGGATATGAGGTAACTTACGTAATGGAGGCAGAGAATATTTTATACAATAATTATCCTTGTTTAGCATATCTGGATTACAACATAATACATACGCCTAGTTCATACCAGATATCGCTTTATCAAAAGGAGCAACAGTCGTTACGAATGCTGCATTATACTTCTCACATAACCAATCAAGTGAAGAGAACAACTTTATTGTATTATTTACGCCGCGTGATATATAGAACCAGTCTGGAATATTTAGAAAAAGATTTAGTTGATTGTATTTCAATGATATTAATCAATGAGTATCCATTCACCATGGTTCAAAATGTAATTCAACATATTACATTAACTTATATGCATCAAAAATCAACATATATTCAAATGCCTACAACCGCACGTCTAATGATTTTGAAGAAATATATTCAACCTTCATCGTATCCAGGTTTACATGACGTTCATCCACGACCTCGCCGTTATCGGAGGAGCATAGTAATCAGCTGTAATGAAATTTCCCAAGTACTCACGCAAACTACAAACATGTTTCAAACAGACATTCAACCTTTTTCACATTCCGATACATTATATACATCCTTAAATATGTCTTTGCGTAACATAACATCTTCTTGTACTTTATCCATCAGGCATCATATATTGATGGTTAGTTGCCAGGTTTGCGGAATGGGTTTTTTCTGTACAGGAAAAGGAATTTCATCCGAGATTGTGGAAGATATACAGCATGATGTCAATTCTCCAATACATATGCATATGCTGAATTATCAGCATCAGGGATTAACACGTTATGTAGACCTTCCCATCAACTCAAATATGCGATTGTATGAACAATTATATCTATATCAACAGATTTATAAGTCTATGGGAGTGGAGTGGAATTCTTCACAATCATATACCATAATACCTCGTTTTTTGACACGTACGATACCGTACGTGTGGAGCATGGATTATTAGTCATCTTTTAGATGATTTAATGGTTTATGTTCTATGCATGAAAAAACTTTATTACTGTTGTAATTAACAGTGAAGGGAGTCCAGCGATTGAAACTGAATCCGCATCACCTTTGGCTTCATCGCAGCATACATCATCATGCACTACTTCACACACAGTCTTCTTCATCCCACCGAAATTCGCCTTCATCCAGCAGGGGGCCAACGATGCGAAATTTTATAACCTCCGCAATAAAGACGGACAAGGCGATAAGGAAGGCAGCACGGACCATTACGCAATATATTTCGGCTACCCTACAAACTGAAATACAATCGTCCAATTCTGAGTAAGGGCCCTATTAGTTATAAGATAGCCTTTAAGTAGTTTTAATAAATATTATAAATAGCTTTAATTAGTCGTAAGATAGCTTTTAAGTAGTTTTAATAAATATTATAAATAGCTTTAATTAATAGCTTTAATTATTAATTGTTTTATTAATTATAATTATAAATATTTGATTATAATTTATCCTTTTTTTAAAAAAAAAAACAATGTTTTAAAAAAACACTTCGACCGGCACAGCACATTGTAAAATTATGGAATCAAAACAAAAGAACTGTCAAACTAAGAAAGCTTTTATGCAAAGTTGTGGAACTGGGCCAAACCTTAAAGAAAAAAGAAAAAGTTCCAGCTTCCACAAGAGTAAGAAATGGAATTCGCCCTAAAGCTGTACTTTCACTGGTGCGTTGCAGAGGGATCAGTTAACGAGCTTCGATCAACGGTCATTGAACTTTAACGTAATTACAGCTGGCACCGTTGATCGTGGACGGTATAAAAGTGCGTGCACCAGGAAGAAGCTTTCTTCTTTTTTGATTTCTTCAACAACTAAAGGTACGAGGCAAAAATTGTGGTTCTGGATTCGTCAGCTGAGACTATTGTGGTAATATATAAGTGAAATTATACATTTGCTAAGATATTTTAATATTTTCTTGTAACATATGGAAATTAAAATTGAAATTTAAACAAAATAAATATATACAAAGACTGGATTCTGTACATGAAATTAAAGAATTGTGTTAAGATATAAATTCTAGTAACTTTCTTCTAATCTGTGAAAATTTAAATTTTATTTTAAACTAAAGAGACATATGCAAAGAATTGATTTTGTTGATTTATAAGTAGAATACTGTCATTTTGTGTAAATATTTTATGCTAGAGTTAGTATTTAATTGAGTAATAAAACAGATACAACAATATGAAAACTGGAGTTCGCTAAGAAAACTACTTAATTGTTAAACTATAATCTTTATCAATTTCCTCCGAGTGGTGAAGAACTAGAAGGGTGAGCCAAATATAGATATACAACAGCACGTTTGGTAGACATAGGTAAGCAAGATTCAGGGCTTCAACAGTATCTGAATCTAGGTTGCACGGGGTATAACACACGTAGCTTTAACAGTCACGTGTGTCTATACCATAGTGTCGGAAGCGAAAGGTAGCTTTAACAGTAACCTAACGTCTCCGGTCCCTGGACGCTTTAACAGTGAACAGGGAAGGGCGTGTTATCTGCGACCTATAACACAACACACGTAGCTTTAACAGTCACGTGTGTCTGTGTTATATCGTGTCGGCTGTCTGCCGTGTTAGTATTTGCAACACCATGTATCTCCAACTCAGTTCATCATCGATTTAATTTAGTTTCAGCCAGGTTGTTTGCGGTTCTGTTCATCGTCAACGTAGAAATCAGAAGTGACAGGGTCTCACCAAATAAATTTCTCAGCCGTCTTGTGAGACGGCTGAGTTCAACCCCAGCTTTATACGAACCACAAGAAAGGTTCATTACAAACAAACGAGTTATTGAACAAAAGTTATAAAGAAGGACGAAAGAAAAGGTGAAGAATTAAAATATCAAATGAATCAAAGTCTTGAGCTTTCGTTCAAAGCTACATTTATATATTTTTAATATAATATATTCACATCAAAGTGACATAGTCTTACCCCTAACTAATATACCTTAAATATATAATGTAGTGCATACACTTCTAGATTTCTTATTTAACGTATATATATCTTTTTATTGTAAACATAAACATTATTACAAAATTTCCATCCTTACAGTATTAGTAAGGATTAGTAAGGATAATTACTAGTATAAGTATTTAGTCTATAAGTATTTCTATAATTACTTTATCATTATAATATTACATATAAGAAAATGTAACTTGGCAACTCTAGTTTGTTTAACTTATGTGCATCAAAGTTTAACTTGTGTATCATGAAAAAAAAAAATGAGCCAGTATGTTGCTGACAGCCAAAGGGATAGTGAATCAACATATTGTTTATATTTTATCGTCTTATGTGGAAACAAACTATTCCCAAAAATAACACGCAAAATTAATTTTATCATAATATTTTTTCTAGTACACCTTATGTGTTTTACACCGTATAGTAGTTAAAAAAAGTTCATTATTGTAACAGAAAATAAAGAGATTGAAATAAAGGTGGTATTGAACAAAAACTCATAACCACTGATTGAATTCTCTTCCCACGAGCCGTAAGGAAGGAATTTATGATACAGTCCACAGAAAGAGGCAACTCTTTCTGTCAAGCGGCAACTGTAGCCGCTTGACTACAATTTATCAGAAGTGGGTTTTCGGAAAAAGTTATTTTCCAGTAATCGAGTTCCGTAGCAAATTTTAGTTTGGACGAAAATTCGGGATCTCGATTCACTTAAAAAAAATAATTAATTAAAAAAACAATTATAATGGAGACATCGCAAGAAATATTTAAATTAAAAGCAATCCAATTGAAGGAATGGCTTGATCAATTAGGCTTGCCAACAAATGGAACGAAAGCAGCATTGGCGGTGCGTTTGTGTGAAGTACCACACGAATTACGTGGTAATCCACCAAAAAGTGCGTGCGGTGATGAAAATGAAACAAAAACATCAGGAGACGGCGAGGCGATCAACAGCGATATTGAGAAAGGTGACTTCAAAAGTTTGACAGCTACAGCAACGCAGCAAATACAAACTGATCGAAGTCAAAATGATTGCAAGAAAGGTGAAAACAAACAAATTGAGTGTTACTAAACTGAAGGTATTGAAAACGAGTATAATAAAAACGAAAGTAGACAAATTGAGTGTAACCAAACTAAGAGAAAATGTAAACAAAGTCGAACACTTGAAGTTGTTAAAACGCGAAAATGAGTTACTGAAGAGCGAGATGTCATGGGTGACCCTACGTGGGTCAGCAAACAATGTTCCAGAACACTCTTTACAGTATGACTCTAAACATTTTCCAAGACATGTTGCCAACATATAACGGCACAACAGCAGTTAGCATTTGGATTGCACAGTTTCAAAATGTTACAAAAATATACACATAGCCAATAAAGTCTGCGTGAAGTTCTAAAACAGCGTGGATATTCAACAAAGTATTCAATTTAGCCTTATTTTTAATATTTCAACCGATTTTATCAGATTTTTTATAATTGTACGCAGACTTTATGGGCCCTTTATTTACATGCAGGGACACTTCTATCCCGTTATCTCAAGAATGAACAAACGAATACAACTTTTGTCTTTTGCTATTTATTTATTTTTGCTATTTCCTAGTATTTCCAAAATTTTGGTGATAGAAATGATCAAAAAATACTGGTGTTTTATAAGTTGTTTTACGACAATTCCAAAAGACAAATTCATAGAAATTATTTTATTTATTTTTAACAATAGTTTTTTTAAATTTAATAAAAAAAATTATACATCAATTGGACGGTACATCAATGGAAAATCCAGCATCACCATCACTAGCTAAGTTCATTATGAAGATTATAATATCAACTGTTTTAAATAAATTACCATTTGAAGTAACATTAACCATGTATTATGTTAAAGACACGTTATTTGCAATTTCCAAAGACGAAGTTAAAAATATGGTTACAGCTTTCAGCAATGTGAATCCGCACATTCAATTCACATATGAAATTGAAAATGATAGAAAAATTCCTTTCTTAGATATAATGGTAATGAGAAATGATAATAAGATTATCAACAACTGGTATAAAAAACCGACATCTTCAGGTAGATTACTGAATTTTTTATCTAATCATCCAATACACCAAAAAATCAACACTGTTAGAAACTTTATAAGCAGAGTCAAAGCTTTGACTGATGAAATATTTATGGAAGATAATATTAAACAAATTAAAAAAATACTAAACAATAATAACTACCCTAAATATATCATTAACAAAATATTATCTAATATATAAAATTTCCAATGTCACAATGTTAGTTACCGCACTCCTCCGAAACGGCTTTACCGATTTTTACCAAATTTTATATGCGTATTTAGTAGGTCTGAGAATCAGCTACTATCTATTTTTCATACCGCTAAAGTGGTAGGGGTTGTTCACCCTTTACATTTTTTTTTAATTTTTGGACGAAATTTCTTCTTTTTATTTTTTATAATGTGGCATTAAAAAATACATACAACCCTAAATTTTTACTTTTTTATCACCAACCTCTATTTTTTTATAGCCATTTTAGTAATTTAATCATTATCATCCCACTCGATAACT